AATTACAGGAGTTTCTAATGGAGTGGGTCAGTCCTGGTGAAACACTGGACATCTTTTTCACACAGACAGGCCGGCAGGTGGCAGCTATGCCTGTAATGAGTCTGAGCAGGTCCCTGGGGCTCATTGTGCAGCCTGAGGACCACCAAGGGGCAGGTCTGAGGACCAGGTTGCCTTCGCAGACGTCCCCCCATGGCCCTACCTTCCCTCCTGCACCAACATTCACACAGCGCACTCCCCGCCCCTTTGTCTTGGGAGTTACCAAAACCCTTTTTTGAAACTGTTTGTTTTTAGCTTTTGTCACCTCCGTTCTTTCCGCTGGCTATCCCTTTGTGTGGAGGTCTGCGCATTCACTGCCGCTCCCGGGAATTTAAACAGCTCGTGTTCACACCCTTGCTCTGCTCAGTGGTTTCCCAGAGTCATTTCTGATATCTGTTCAGTCATCACTTGCCCTGACTGAAGACTGTGGCCTCCCAGGACAGCCATGGTCTCTTTGATCGTTTCTGATTTCTGTTTTTGTTGTGTTTCCCCCAAAGGCTGTGGGTTATTGTTACTCTAGGCCAGAAGAGTCCCTGATGCCTTTGTGTGGGGACAGTGACAAGTCTAAAATATGACAGAAGAGTCACCTGTGCTTGTTAATTTTGGTATAAGTAAACCTATTATAGTAAATGCATTGATTTAGTCACCATTTGTTGAGCATTAGAGATGTGCATTGAGTACTTCCTTTGTGTGTCTCCCCCATGAGGACCAGGGTGGCGGGTAGAGAGGACCAGGCAGTGGGAGAAACCTCTGCCTCTCTTTGGAAGCAGTATAGGAAGTAGGTGCATTTTGGTTTCAGAAAAAGGGTAAATGGGTCCTGTAGTGAGATCCAAAGGGATCCGTTTCCAGGGGGTAGCAGGGGCCCACTGTCGGGCCAGGAGCAGACAGGAATGAGGCATAGTTTAGTCTGTTGCAGCCAGGCTGTGCTGGCCCTGCTGTCAGAGCCAAGACTTGGCGTAGCATAATTTTTTACAACTGTGAAGGAGGGACGTGGGATCTCAAGACTGGACAGATTCTTAATTAGGTGACTTGAGACTCCCAATGTAGGAGTTTTGGGAGACTCCTTTGAAACCTAAATTTCTTTCCCCCAATAATGCTATTAATACAGAAACCTGGCTTTGGAGTGACATTGCTTCCTGGGGAAGGATCGAGATTAATTGCACTTTTCATGCCCTGTACTTTCTGCATTACCTGTAATAATAATGTACATAGATTAGGTAGGGAGGATATTAAACAGAAGGATTTATGAACATTTGAATATTAAGTTGGTTATCTGTGGCTACCTTAAATGCAAGGTTGTCAAAAATAATTACAGTATACTAGCAAATACTGGCTACCAGAGGCAATATAAATACCCTGAGTCAGTGCATGTTGGGCTTTTGGCATGAATCACTTGCTCAACAAGGATTGAGAATACGGTCTTCATATTTATGAGGAGGCAATGAAAGGGAGCACGGGCGGGGGAGGGGACAGGAACACGCAAAATTAATGGTGTCGCAGACCCACTGTATTAAACCCAGCACAGCGCAGCCCCATGCACGGAGGGACCCCACTTGGACTGCAGGAAGCTCTGACAGTGCAGCCTTCATTTTGTATGCATGGGAGGGGTTTTTGATGCTTTTTAAAAATGGCCACACCACCCATGTTCTGGTTTTATGATTGGGGACATTTGTAGAGTGTGGAGGGTGAGATCGCTAAGTGGTTTGCAGTTGACTTCCGTAAAACCCGACTTGTCAAGCAGAAGACACTTGAGAATGATATTGATGAATGCCCATCCATCTCCAGGGCAGGGAAACACACCCAGTTGTTAATTTCTCAATGCAGAAAGCAGTGATGACATGGAAACGCAACTGCCATGAAAAAAAATTATGATCGATTAGATGAGGTGGCTCTGAAAGCAGCTGATGTCTGCGAGTTAGGTTAACGGTTCAGACCCTGCCTACACTGTCAGAGATGTATCCCTCGTCCATGAGGGTCCACTTTCCACCGCTGCACCACACTGTGCACTGTTTTCCCGAGGCCCGGCCACCTCAGATGGATGAGTAGAAAGCAGTTGGCAAGTGGAGTTCTGTGAGAAAGAAACCATTTTGTGACAATAGGGCCCTAAAAGCACTGGCCACAGTTTACCCTTGATATAGCGACCTTCATTTAAATTTTGAAGAATGTATTTCATTTATGTGCTTTCGGTTTATAATGTATTTTATTAAATATAGTGTTTTTTTTTAATTCTCACCAGAGGATTTTTCATTGATTTTTATTTTATTTTTTATTTTTTAAGAGGGAGGGATGGGGAGGGGGACAGAAAGAGAGAGAAAAGTATCGATGTGAGAGACACACATCAATTGGTTGCCTCCTGCACGTACCCCGATTGGGAACTGGGGAACAGACCTACAACCCAGGTATGTGCCCTTGACCGGAGACTGAACCCGAGACCCTTCAGTGCTCAGGCCGACGCTCTAACCACTGAGAAAAACTGTCCAGGGCTTAAATATACTTTTAATGTTTTTATTGATATAGTTTAGATTTGTCATCCCAGCAAATGCAATTTGATTTCTGACTTTGAGCAGCCCACCCAGTTGGAAATGTACCAAAAAACATTAATTTATTCAGCAAATAATGACTGAGCACCTACTGTGTGCCAAGAACTGTGCCAGATGTGGATTTACAGTAGTGACAGATAGTTTTGGTTCTCCTGGTTCTTAAACTCTAGTGGCGAGACAGATTTTAAATAACCTTGCAAATGTGCCATTGTAAATGGGTATGAAGGAAAATAGTGCCAAGAGAGAGTAGAGTGGAGAGTGTAGATGGTAAGAACTCCCAGAATGGCCTTCAGAGAGTGTGTTAGCTTGGCACTGTGCTGGGGGCAGGGGGCTGGCCACCCATGCGCAGAGATGGAGGCGCAGGCCCTTCTCTGAGCAAGATGGAAACAGGCCTGAGGAGTTGCTGCGGAGGCCAGAGTGATGGGCTGGCCATCTGGGCACCTGTCCTAACGCAGAGCAAGGAAACTGAGAGTGTGCTCATGCAGGGCTTCAGGGGACGAGGAGCTTCTGAGAAATGGGCACGCAGAGTGCTTTGCTGGTATCCTAACTGGAGAGATTTGGGTTCAGCAGCCATAAGTCTTTCCTTAACTGGCTCTAACTGGAGAGGGGGAAGCTAAGCTGCAAATTACTCTGAAGATTTTAATGAACTCTCTGGGGTGGCCCCATGTATTTAAGTTGTAGGGTAGATATCCTTAGAGCTCGTTTCCAGCCTGAAATGAGGGCTGCCAAGTACCAGCGCGTTTGCAGAGAATTCTCTCTCGCAGTTACAGGATGGTGCGAGCCGTCTTCAGAAGATATTTCTGCACTGGTTACAGAAACTGTGCACTGTGGGCCCCACACACTACCACTAAATAGAAACTTTAAGAGGCCCTGGTGCGTGTCATTCTAGAAGATGGGTAATATTGAGGCAGCAGGGCTTTTCACTCTGTATTTTATGATTCTTGGGATTTTACAGAATGTATCTAGCAACCAAAACGTGTGTTGAGATGCAGACTGGTGATCACTTAGGAGTATGATTGGTTCTCTGTTCGGTTTAGATGTAGCTCTCGCCCCCATTTGCTTTCTAAAACCTGCCGGGCCTGAGAGCTGGTCCCAGGACGTGTGCACAGCTGCCCTCTGCTGGGTTATGTTTCAAGCATCTCCAAAGTTGCTCATCCGTCTACCCAAGGCCATGTCTAAATGAGCGGCTTTGAGGTTCTGCAGATAAAACTCCTTCCCAGGGGCCTCCAAGTCCCCATGTAACCTGGGGAGCATTAAGTGGCACCTACTTTAATTAACCTGCTCTGGTAAAGCTACAAGAGTCATTGTGTTAAATGTGCATCTCGAAACCAAAATGGCCAACCTGCCACAGGTGTGTTCAGATTCATGGTCTGTATCTCTTCTTTCTTCCCCAGAGTCACTTAGGGAACGTCTTGGTGGACGTGAAGCTCATTGACGTCAAGGACACTCTGCCTGTAGGCTTCATCCCGATTCAGGAGACGGCGGACACACGTGAGTCATCCTCCAGGAGCACTCATCCCAGAGAGGGTTTCCTTCCTCCAGGCATATTTTTAGATTTTCCTATGTGCATTTTTCTATGGAAATATTTTAGGAGTCCTTACCACTTGCCCAAGAATAAACCCTGCAACTCTTGCCATGTGTACAACATGGTTCCCCAAGGAGCCTGTAGTGTTCTGGTTAGTGCCACGCGATTGAGCAGAATGCCCTTTTCTCTCAGAACGGGGCTCCCCACTGGACTAGTCACTCGGGGATGGATGGAGAAGCTGGCAATAGTCCGTCCTTAGAGCATCCTCTGTGTGGCTAAAGGCAAGCTTGGCACAAGACCCAGAAGCAGAAGGGAAAAAATCAGAAGGCCCCCAGGGAGTACAAGTGCAATAATGTCCTCAGTTTTGGCTCTTGGAGCTCACAGGAAAGGCCAGAACCAGAAAGATTGCACATCAGAGAACATGGGATTCAGTGGGAGCACTGAGCAGAACCAAGCCGAGGAGAGTCGCTGATGCTTTGGGAGCGTCTTCAGGGTCCTGTCATGCGCGTCGGTTATTAAACAGTGCTGGGAAGCCTCTGCCTATCTGAGCCTCCTCATTTTGGTGTGAAATCACTTGTTTTATTTTTAATTACTCTTACCAACTAACAGTGAAGCAGTAAATAAAAAGCGAATAGACTCCTTTATGACATACGATTTCTCTCTGAAGTTCTGTGTCTCATTCTGCATCATACGTACTTGAATTTTCCATAGTTAGCCCCATGTGGACCCACTGTTTTTGCTGGTTTTTTGCTAGCATTTCACGTAGACCTGACTTTTCATATCTGTACAGACCCTACGTAGTTCTTTAGTGAAGCAAGTAGGTTCCTTTGCATAGCATGTCTTCATTTTCGTAGCGGTCTCCTCACTGTTGGACATTTGCTGTTGTTATTATATGCATTAGCTAATAATTGTAATAGCTGATATTGAGTATGTACTTACTCTATGCTAACCCCTGTCATAAATGCTTTACATACCTGAATCTTCAGAAGACTCCTATTTGGAAATGGATATTATTAAGCCCATTTCCACATATACGATAAATGAGGCACAGTAACTGCTTGGGGATTAAATAATTGATCCAAGGTCTTGCATCAGAAGTGGGGGAGTAACTAGAATGTACACACAAGTCTGACACCAACCACACTTTTCAGCACAGTGTTGCTCTAGAAAAGCATGAGCACCTTTTACAGGAAGATTTTTATATATTTATGTATCGGGGTTTTGGTAACAGTTTTATTGGGTATAATTCACATACCATACAATTTACCCATTAAAGTGTACAATTTAGAGGTTTTTAGTACATTCATAGTGTTCTGCAATCATTACCACAATTTTAGAACATTTCATCCCCTCCCCCAAAACCCCATCCCATTAGCAGCCACTCTCCATTTCTCTCCAGCCCTCACCTTCCCACCCCCTGCCAGCCCTAGGCAGTCACTAGTCCACTTTATATGTAGATGTGCCTGTTCAGGACGTTTCATATAGATGGAATCATAAAATATGTGGTCTTTCATGATCGGCTCCTTTTACTTAGCATATGTTTCCAAGGCTCATCCGTGTTGCAGCATCTATATCAGTATACTTCATTCCTTTTGGTCACCAAATAATACGCCATTTTTATGGATTTACTACATTTTACATATCCATCCAGTTGATGGATATTTGGGTTGTTTCTGCTTTTGGCTGTTGTGAATCATGCTGCTATGAACTTTCCTGTGCAAGTTTTTGTGTGGACATGCGTTTTCATTTCTCTTAGGTATGCACCTAAGCATGGAATAGCTGGGTCATATTCTAACTCTGTGTTTAACTTTTTGAGGAACTTCCAAACTTTTTTTCAAAGGGGCAGCCCATTTTACATTTCCACCAGCAGTGCATGCGGTTCCAGTTTTCTCCACATCTTCCCCAGCATGTGTCATGGTCGTGCTTTTTCATTCCAGCCGTCTTGGTGGGTAGGAAGTGGCCTCGCATTGTGGTTTTGATTTGTGTTTCCCTGATAGCTAATGATGTTGCCAGAATATTTTAATATATAGTTTACCCTTGAACAACATGAGTTTGGACTGCACAGGTCCAGTTATATACAGAATTTTTTTCAATAGAGACTGTAAGTATATTTTCTTTATGATTTTCTTAATATTTTCTTTTCTCTAGCTTAATTTATTATAAGAATACAGTATATGATACATATAACATATAAAATATGTGTTAATTGGCTGTTTTTGTTACTGGCAAGGCTTCCAGTCAACAATAGGTTATTAATAGTTAGGTTTTTGGGGAGTCAAAAGTTATACCTGGATTTTTGACTGTGTGGGGGATTGGTGCCTGTGACCCCTGCATTTTTTCAGGGGTTAACTGTATTCTAGATGGAAGTACTATATCAATTACGTGATTTGAAACATTTTCTCCCATTTTGTGGGTTCTTTTTTCACTTGCTTGGTTTCCTTTGAAAACTTTTTATTTTGATGGAATCCATTTATCTTTTATGTGTTTATTTTTTTGTTTATGCTTTCGGTGACATACCCAAAAAACCACTGCCTAATCCAGGGTCACCAAGATTTATGCCTATGTTTTCTTCTAAGAGATTCATAGTTTTAGCTCTTACATTTATGTCTTTAATCCATCTTGAGTTAATTTTTGTGAATGGTATGGGATGGGGTCCAACTTTATTCTTTTGCATGTGAATGTCCAGTTGAATAACCGTTCTTTCCTCCACTGACTTGTCTTAGCACCCTTGTTGAAAATCAGTTGACCATAAATGTGAGAGTTCGTTTCTAGACTCGGAGTTCTTTTTCATTGATCTGTGTGTCTTTCCTTATGCCAGTCTTGATTGCTGTTCATAGCAGGTTTTGAAACCAGGAGCTGAGTCCTCTAACTTTGTTCTTCTTTTTCAAGATGATCTGGCTCTTCTGTGTCTTGAATTTCCATAGAAATTTTCAGATTTGTCAATTTCTGCAAAGAAGCCAGCTGGGATTTTGATAGGGATGGTGTTGAATCTGTAGGTCAGTTTGGGTATGTATAGATTTTAAATGATTTCCTTGTGATAGGTTTCTAAGTACTTGAGGCTACTGGGTCATAGATCCTCTGTGGTCTGCCCCCAGCCTTCCTCTCCTCATACTCAAGCACCCTGTGCTTTACCCAAACCGAACCACTTACTGTGCACTCTCTATGCTCCTTTCTTTTCTGACCACATACTTGCTTAGCAGTTTCAGGCATTTCTCTGCCTGAAATGCCCTTTCCCTCCACTCTGAATGTCCACACCCCGTGTCTCCCAAAGGTGAGCCTAAGTTCTCCCGCATGCATCAGACAGTCTCTGTTCCCTAGATACCAGTTTGAAGTAAGCTCTCTCTCCCCTCCACAGTCAGCTAAGGTTGATGAGTGCCTAGTGGCACTGCAGGCTTTGGGATAGAAAGGTGACTGAGATACTGGCCCTTTCCTCAGGGACAGTTTAGTGGGTGACCTGTACCTGGCAACAGGAATTGCATTACAACATAATCAGACAGGGCTCTAGTCAGCTGGAGGTCAGGGGCCTTGTCTGCCTTCTTTACTGCTTTTCAGTGCACCCGGCACAGCACACACTCGCAGAAGGGCCTGGAGGGAAGTAAGCATGTGTGCATTACAGTCATGGGAAGCCAAAGGGAGTGATTGGTTCTGCCTCTGAATTACCATCTTTACCTCCATTAGGACAAAGTGAAGCTTGTCATGGTGGAGAACTTGGGCTCTGGAGTCGTACTTGCCTGATACTGAGTCTGGCTCTGCACTTACAACTATAGGGCTTCACCCTCCTGGACCTCAGTTTCCGCATCTGTAAAATGGGGGAGGGGATATTATCTGCCTCATAATAATGTTTTTAGCTTACAGTTTAGCCATTTACATGTTTTCTTCATGTCTTTGCTACTTATCTCTTTCTTTGAGGGCAAGATCTATGTTTAATTCATCTTTGAATCACCTAAGGTACCCATCATGCACAGTGCCTTGCTCAGAGGATGGACTCAATAAAGATAAACATTATTACTCTCCATTGCCAAATTAACTTCCAGAAATACCAATTCACAGTGCCACTAATGATACAGGCTTGTACCTGTTTTCCACAGACCTGTCGGCATAGGTTTTAAATTTTTTATTTAGTTTTGCTATCCAAACTGTATTTAATTTTCACTCCATTATTTATTAGCAAGACTGAACATTTCACAAGTGTTTGCTTGCTACTTTCACTTATTCTTAAATGGCTTGTGTGCTTGGGAACTAAAATTGCCTGTAGACTTGTATGAATTTCCCACTTTTCCCTTGTGCTTTTCTTAGTTTTAAAATTTGCGTTGATGTTCATGTTTGACAATTAATCGACTTACAATGTCTTTATATTGATACACCATAGAGTCACAAGGGATTTCCCATTCTGTACTTTCCTTTCGTTGAACCAGTTAAGTGAGGAAGCCGAGGGCGGAGTACTGTCTAGGCCTTGGTCTAGCTGCTGTGGGTGAGCCTGTGCAGTGATCCGGGGAGGGGAGCCTTTCCTGCGACTGGGGCTTGTGAGTGGCTGTGCCACAGACTTTGAGGTTGTCCTGGCATCTCCACCAGGTGTCTTATCACACAAGGAGGGTGGGTTCAGGGTGGCCTCTTCATTTCGTGTCATAGGGTCATTTTCTAGAGCCTTTACCCAGGGGACAGGTGAGCCCAAGCTGAGTAGATAAACCTCTGGTCAGCTCTGTGCAGTTTGGACGCATGTAAGGCCTTGATTTTACAAAGTCAGCCAAAAGGACAAGACTCCTATAATTAATTTAAAATACAGTTTGTTGCAATCCATATAGTACTTAAAAACTGGAAAACTGTTTGTTTTAGTAAAGTGCTGTGTCCTTTCTCTGTTCATTAGCATGACTGAACACATTTCAATTTACTGTATAATATGTTTACTTAAAATCAGGCCTGTTTAAGCATGTGTAATTAGCGGCTCCATGCTGTAGATGGAGGAATGGAGGAATGGAGCAAAGAGCAGCATGACAAAAGCAAGCAAAACACCTGCATTTTCATTTACTTTGAGGACAGGTCTCACTCACCTTCTTCATACTTTCAGAGGCCTGATCTTGCCCTGGCCAGTGTGGCTCGGTTGGTTGGGTGTCATCCCATGTACCGAAGGGTTCCCTGTTCGATTCCTGTTCACGGCACATGCCCGGGTTGTGGGCTCCATCCCCACATCAATGTTTCTCTCTCTTTTTCTCCCTCTCCTTCCCTCTCTCTCTAAAAATCAATAAAAAAATCTTTAAAAAACAATCCAAAGACCTGATCTTAACACTAATAGTTTTCCAAGGTGCAGGGTCGCTCTGACCATTTTCCCCAGGATACCATCCTGCCTACTGGGGACAATGTTTGGGGTCTGGATTCAGGACATTATTACTGTACCTTGTAGATCTGATCCTAGTCCTTAGTTTCCTCACCAAGGAAGAGAACCCACAGGTTCTGAGTTTCCACCTGGCTCTTTGACATGCAACACCCCCAACAACACCACCACAACGCCACTGATTCTGGTCTCCCCTTGGTAAAGCCAAGACCAGCCACAGGCCTGCACTTCCTTCATCACTCCGCTCCCTGATTTGAATGTGCTTCTTTCCTGCCCCAGAACTGACAGGTCTTAAAAGTCAATGCCAAATCCTGACGTGAGTTGTGTGCTGGAGGCCTCCTTGTAGTGATGGTGATCAGAACATTCGTGGCTGTTCTTTATCAAGCACTTATGTGTGCCAGGTGCTGGGTTAAGTGAAGCTTACCTGTTATCCCATTTCATCCACCCTACGTCCCTGTGGGGTGGGGTTTCATTGACTCCCTTTTACAGCTAATGGGACAGAAGCTCAGAGAAATTAAGGTCATAGTGTTGGAAAGTGGCGGAGTTGGGATTTCAACCCAGGTCTATCTGACTCATGTATTGAGTAACTGCAGTTGATTGAAACTCATGTTTAAAAACCACAAATGAGCAAGCAGATGCCTGGCTGGCCACCACTGGAAGTCACTAGAGCACCGACTCATCTCTCTGTAAGACCCAATAAATAAAAGAAAAACGTATTTATCTCTTTTTCCTATGCAATGCACACTTCAGAGAGATCAAGTAGTTGAAGAAGAAAAGTTATTTTTTTTATATAGAAGAATTTCAGCTAATAAATGCAGAAGGAATGACAGATATAGAAAAATCACCATTCTGAAACCTTTAATGAAATGATGGATCTAAGAAACAGTCTTGAGGGGAAGCAGACACTGCTCAGAGTGGCTATTGGGAACTTCATCATGGGGGGGACCAGGCCGACAGCCCCGGAAGCCGAGGGGGCAGAGCTGGACCACACCTCATGATGTGATGCCACAGGAAGTACCTACACCACCTGGGAAGTGCTCTTGCCTGAAAAGCCCTAACCTGACTCTTACCAAGCCTTTAGCTATAATTGCTGGTTTACAGGAGGTACAGGGGAATGACCCAGTTTCTCCAGCTTCTGTGCCCTGAAGACAAGGGGAAGGTGGAGAGGTTGCTGCAGCATAAAAGGGACTTAAGAGACCTCGCAGCTAAGTTCAGACAAACCAACAGTGAAACGATGTTTTTGAGGTAATGGAGGAAACTTGAATATAGACTATTTATTGGATGGTATTGAGGAATTATTCGTTTTGTTAAGAATGATAATGGCATGGTGATCGTGTTAAAAAAAAATTGTCTGCCACAGACGCCTGCTGAGCTATTGACAAGTGACAAGACACAGTGTTAGAGACTCATTCTAAATTCTCCAGCCAGGCGGGGGGAGATGAAACCCGCTTGTCCATTTGGGGCAGTGTTGAAACTGGATGATGGGAGCATGTAGATTCATGCACTTTGGGGAATGTTTGAAAATTTCTACAATAAAATGAAAAAGAGAAGCGTCCATGTAGTAAAGTGTGTTAACACTCAGGTGTCCACGTGTATGTATCTGAAGGCTGCAGCAGTTAGCAGGTTGTTTAGAAGCCAGCCCAATGGGTTCATTCCAGGCAGCTTCTCCTCACAGAGGTGGGCATCCCCAGGGAGCCCCTTCTCCGCAGAGAAAGTTGGTGGTCAGGGCCTGTACACACGGCCTGCCCACTGTGGGCCTGTGGAGGGAAAAAGGGGTACAGCCCAGCCCTCCTGTTGGGCACTTGGATGACTGGCCACTTCCATTGCCAGAAGGGGACTATGATGGGAGACGCAGTGCTCCGAATAGAGATTCATGCCTTTCTCTGTTCTTTCCTTCAGAGGAAGTAGCTTTTAGAAAGAAGAGGCTGTGCATTAAATTTATCCCACGGGATTCCACGGAAGCTGCGATCTGTGACATTCGGATCATGGGCCGGACCAAGCAGGCCCCTCCTCAGTACACGTTTATTGGGTGAGTCTCAGTAACACAGATCTCCTCTCCTCTCTCTCTGTGAGTGCTCAGGTCACCCCCAGGGATAGAGCACTGAGACTCTGACACACGAGGCTAGGCCTCTGCTCATAGCTGCCCATCCTGCGTGTGCTGCAGCCAGTCCAGACCACCACTCTCTCCACCCCTCCATGCCTTTCTGCTCTAAGGGCCTTACTGTCCCCTTGTCCTGTGTGTTTGTCCTTGAGGCTCTGTGGACCTTTCCAGATGCCCAAAGCCCAGGAGCCCTCTCCTTTGCGACCACTGGGCCTCAGCCCTTGGCACTGTTTACTCACCTACTAAGTTTATGAGGCTCCCTTTTGTTCCACTGGACCTGTCACTGCTACCTGGAAAATGTTCTCTCTTCTGGGCCCAAGCCATTGGAACTCAGGGACCAAGAATGAGGGGATGGCTGCTCCCAGATACAGAGGGGAGGTAAAAAGTCAGGATGAGGGAAGTGAATGGATGCTGGATGTCCAAAGATAGATGTTCATTATACTCAGGCAGCTGAAATTCAGGTCTTTCCAGTGTGGTAGATGGTTTTTGGCCCCTCAGCCATGTGCCTCTCTCCCTGGTTGGCTTTGCAGGCATCTTGCTTGACCCCGTCGGTCCCCAGGGATGAGTCTCCCACTTGGATGAGACTCTGGGTTTTGCTCTGTTTTGCTTCTTGCTCATTTTGATTCAGACCTTCCTCTTTCTTCTAAAGCCAGGGCCTTTGTCCGTACGCCTGACACAGGCTGGGCGATAGGTGAGCTGTGGTGTTTGCTCGAAGTGTGTGGGGAACTGGTATCACCGAATTAGAGATTATTTTCATCTTGGTGCACAGAGGTTATGTAGACTCTTCAGCTATGGAATCAGTGCTCTGTCTCAAGACTTTGTGTCCTTAAGAAGGACTCTGATCATTCCCTTCCCTCCCATATACACTCCGGATCCTGTTTAGCAACGGGGTTTAAATTGATTATGTAAACAGGAGTAGCAAGTGGTAAGAGAATAACCATTCAGTTGCCTTGAAGCAGCTATTTGCATACAAATAGTAGAAGCCAACAATTTAATGATGAACTTTTAAAGTCTAATTTTGGTTTACTCTGTGTATTTTTAATTAGAAACTATACTACTTTAAAAGATTCAATTTTTAACCAGTTTAGAAACTTCTAAAGAATAGACTCTTACCATATACGTATGTCTTGATAATCAAAACTAAAATCTTTTATATTATTTTGAAAATATTGCTAAATAAAGTATATTTTTGTTTCATCTTGGAGCAAAAATTCTTTTCCAGAGGCAGATGATTTCAGTGTTACTTATTTATTTTTTAATCCTCACCTGAGTATATTTTTTCCATTTCTTTTCAGAGAGAGTGGAAGGGAGAGAGAAAGAGAGAAAAAAAACCATCCATGTGAGAGAGACACATCGATTGGTTGCCTCCCACATCTGCCCCAACTGGGGCCAAGCCTACAACCAAGGTACATGCCCTTGGCTGGAATCAAACCTGGGACCCTTTAGTCTGCAGGCCGATGCCCTAACCACTGAGCAAAACCAGCTAGGGTTCAGTGTTATTTTTAAGTAAGGAAAGAATTCAATTCAAAACTCTTAAGTCACTTTTTCTTAAGAACAGGCACAATTCCACACGTTACTTTGCAAGGGTTGGGTTGTCGGCTGGGGAGACAGAAACCTCAGAGTGGGGACAGCTCCTCCCAGGCCTGACCGCGGATCCCCAACTAAGACGTGGTGAAATCCATGCAGCCAATTGGAATTGACCATCTACCTAACAAGACGTGATTGTGGTTTAGAACTGTTCCCATAGTGCACTGAGAAGCTACTAGAAATATCCACTAAATCAATCTGTTCTCATTTTTTTAAGAGATGATATTCCTCCACATCCCAAGATACAGTTCTGTGGGGCAGTTGAGAAGTTGTAAATTGGATGTGGCTGAAATAATCTCATTCCAATTCCTAAGAACAAACCTGTTTCATAAACGTCCGTGACTGGTGTGCAGCTGGCTGCAGTGCAGGCATATCAGGTCACAGGGAATTTGATGTGGTGCCTGTCAGGCCCTTTTGTGTCCAGTCTTAGCTGTGGTGGTTTGTGGGGCACATGCTTCATGATTTGAAGATTTCTCCCAAGCTGACCCTAAGAAAGACCGACTGCAGGTGACATCGGGACAGTAAGAAGCTTTATCCAGAAGCCAGAAGTGTTCTAGAAGCAGGGTGGGTAATTCTTGTAGTTGAAAACCATTGGTCTGTCTATCTCACCCAAACCATGCAAGGGATTTGAAGTGGATTGTCGTGTAAACACCTACAATGAAATGACAAAATAAATTTAAAAACTTAAAGACAGAGAACCAAGGCAAGTGCAGTAGTAAGGTAGGAAGGCAAGCTCCGGGTGGTGTCATACAGGCCTGCCTAGTGGGGACAGTTGCCCTCACATTCGGCTCTGAACTGTGACACCCAGAGCACAAAGGGAGGTGATGTAACCAATCTGTGGACAAGAATTGATTCCCTGGTGGTTGAGGCTATGATTCTTTTAAAGGTGTTAGTTTGTTTTGTCGCTCAGGTAAATGCTTTGTGCTAAACAGCGCCGTGAAGATTTCTCTTTTCTCCTAAAGGGAACTGAACAGCATGGGGATCTGGTATCGCATGGGCAGAGTGCCAAGGAATCATGACTCATCTCAACCCACAACACCTTCCCAGTCATCAGCTGCTTCCACCCCGGCCCCCAACCTTCCCAGGTGAGGCCTCTCCGTGGCATCTTATTCTGCTATGCATGTTACAGTCACATGGTCTTGGGTCCCAGGGCGCACACTTTAGGACACCTCCCCTTAGTGTCTGCTGAAATAGTGCAGAAGCAATCTACCGTCGGAGATTTTTAAAATCCAATTAGAAATCTTTGCATTCCTTGAATGTAAAGGCCATTGTGTATTCTCTTCTGCACATGTTCCGAAGGCTCCCAAAATAGCAGAACATGCAGCTTTAAATTGGCTCGCTGTTCTGAAGAGCCCGTAGCTGCAGGCAGACGGGATCTGCAGCCACATGGTTGGGAACGCTGGCCGGAAGAAGGTGGGATTCCTTCTCTGCCTTGGCCAGCGGCTCATTTGAAACCCAGGGGGGTTGGTAAGTAATTATGTTCATTTTCACGTTGTTTCTTTTCCCAATGAGCTACAACTAAGAAATGAGCAGTTTGGGTTTGAGAGAATAGTGAGAAGTTTTCCAGGGGATGTTAGTTTTAATCATTGTTTCCACAAAGAAACTCGGTTGCTCTGCAGCTGATTTCAGTGGTAATAGAGGCGGAAATGGTCTTCATGCTTTCTGCAAGAAGCAGGTGGGAAAAATCCTGTCAAATAAAAAGACCTCGGCATCGCTAGTAGTAAGTTATTTGAGGACAAGGAACAACGGCAGCAGCGGTGGATTAAGTTTGAGAAGAGGATTACGAAAGTAAATAAAACAAGAGAGGATTGTCGAGGTGGTGTCATTTGGGGATTGATGTAACATAAATGAGAATGGATCTGGGAACTTCCATACGGGTGAACAGAGATGAACACAGTCTTTCGGGAATAGGACAAAATAGTCACCAGTGGGCTCCCCCTCCTGATCTCCAGGATCCGTGCCTTGCCCTCTAGGAGGTACAGAGGGCAGCGTGGCCGCCTGCTCTCTGCGCTGTTCTCTGAGCATCCGCCTCTCTCAGAAGGTGCTGTCATGAGCCAGCAGCTCAGAGGGCCCTGTCCTTCGGGACGTTCCCCCATGAAGGCAGTCTGGGCTTTCTCCTGACAGTCTCATGAACCAAGAGCGGTCCTTAAACTTGACTAACCCCTGGAATCGCCTGAAACTTTAGAAGCAGTTTTCCAGTTCATTTTAAAAGAAGAGATATGAATAGCTAGTGAGCTACCCAGAGATGCAGGTGGAGGGGTTGAGTGTTTGGTTTATGAGCACAAGGCTAGTGCAGCTCAGTTCAGCACTTGCTCACTACCCAGGGCACTGTCATAGATGCAATCACCATCACCTGGGCTTGGGGTCAGCTCAGGCCCATCACCTGTGATCAGGGTCATCTGAGACTCATCCCTGGAGTAGTTACAGCTGCTCCCTGTTGACATTATATGGCTTGGAAGGGCCTAGAAACAGGCACAACCTTGGGGAAGGTTTTACCTCTCTGTTGGATAAAGAAAGAGCACTGATTCTCCCAGTTAGTGAAAGCAGGAGGACTGGTCTCCCCAGAAGCCTGCTGGTCAGTGGCAGAGCACAGCCACTGGCCACTGAAGTGAGAGAGGGCCCAAGATCACAGCTGTGCGATGCCGGGTGGAACTGGAGGTAGTGTTTATAAGGCTTATCTATTTTATTACCTCTTGTACAGTTTATGGTTTACAATGGTTGCAAGGAAATTCGATCAGTTTTGTTTTACTTGCCAAATAAAACAAATGTCAAAATAGTCAATATAAAATGTATTCTAATTTGGCTGAGTTAAGTCAGCCAGTATGCAGTAGGATAATTGAACGTTACATTAGTGCTTCCCAGTAAAAACCACTTGTCTGTCCCCAGCGCTCCTCTCTTATTGTGCAGTAGTTTACAGGTGGTGTGCATACCTACCTGAGCCTCCTAATTCATCAGCATTTCTGTGCCTTTGGTTTTTGTATTGTTTTCTTAGCCAGCATCTTTGATTTTAAAAAAACTAAAATGCTGATTATTCAAATTTTCCATTGAATATTTGTGAAATTATGAGTATGTTACTTTATTCTTTGAGGCTCCAGGTCTCTGCAGTCTTGCCAGCAGAGGAACCTGACAGCTTTCTCTCTGGTGGTGAGCGTGGGTGGTGCCTGGATTCCCACTGTGGCTACACAAGCTGTGCAGCGGCCTTGTGGAGTGAAGGCTCCCCTCCCCGAGCTCAGACTTTAAGCTGAACTGGTAGCCTCTTCATCCCTTCCTGTTTCTTGCTACTGCATCTTTGTTCACGTGGACACCTGTGCATCAGGTGTCTCAAATCCCTGCCTTAGTTAGATACCAGCTCAAATGCCTCCACTTGCATGAAGCCTTCACTGAACACCATAGGGGCTGCGCCTGTGCCTTGGCTCTCTTTTCTGAGTGCCTCTCGGCTGTTATGCATTCACTCTGCTGTGTTCACATTGTGAACTCCTCAAGGACAAGGATCTTGTCCAGTGTCTGTTACCTCCCAGCGCTCGGTTCAGATCCAGGCAATTATTCAGTTTTTCAAAAATGCTTCTCCATCAGCCTAGGACCTCGTGCTGTTTTCCTCCCTCCCACCCCCAATGACTCTCAAGGCCCTGAGCATTCCTGAGGGTTTTTCTGATTATGAGAGTAATATAAACTTGTAGAAAACTGACAGAGTATAGAAAATAGTGAACACACAGAAATCCCATTTCCAATGAATAAAGGTGCATAACCTGGTCGTATTTCCTTCAAGTCATTTTTCTGTGTACTTTTTACATAGGTGATATAATAGCAAGTTTATGTTTTGCTGCTGCTTTCTCATGTAGTTTTGAACCACAAGCATAAGTAAGAAATACTCCTTCAAGCCTGGTCTTTGTGTGGACGCAAGGATCAGGTTGCAAAGCCAAGGCTAGAGTGAGAGTGTGGTGATGCAGCGCCCTCTACTGACCAAATTTGGAGGAGGCCCAGGGAGGACTGGCAGGCTGGTTCCTGAGCAACCGGCTGCAGACCCTTTTCCCAGCAAATCCCTTGTGGGGACTGGAAGGGAACGAGGGAGCCAGGGCCAGGAGCAGACCTTATTGCTTTCTAGAGCTTGAGCCTTCATCTCAAAAGCTAAAATTGTATTATTCTGCCTCTATGTTTTATGTTGTCACTCATATTTCGAAGAAATTCCCTGCCATTTTTTGGAGAGCTCTGATCCCCAGCTTGATTCAGACAGAAGGGGCAGTTGGTGGATCTTTTCAGAGGGAATGGGTCATCACCTGAGGCCCTCATGGTCTTAGCAAAACTGCCTTCTCTCTCCAGAGGCAGGTGCTGCCCCAGGACAGGCACTTCCTGCTTGTGCCCTTTCTATTGCTGCAGAGAGTGCCAGTCCTGGGCCAGAGACCCAGTTGCCCTTTCATAGTGGTAGGCCAGCTCCTAGAGACAGAGGCTGCCCCTGGCTGTATCTGCTAAATTAGACACAGTGTTTGGAGACGTTTTTGGCAAAAGGCAGGATCATCTGTCTCGGCAGAGCTCCTCTCCCTTATTCAGCGAATGGATCTCACACAGACGTATCTGCACACATTTCTGAGTTTCCAGGGGAAGAAGGTTATGCTGCCTCTTCAGGAGCTCAGAGCCCCTGTTCTCTCTGTGGGCATCTGCGCTGCTCTGTCCTCTGCCCATCCACTCCATGCAGGTTGGCCAGCAAGATGGCACTGGCCTTGGGGCTGAGGCATGGCCACCTCCCCTTCTCTTCTAGGCCAGCCTCAGCTTTGCGAGTCCTCCTGGTAGAGGCTTTTCTGATTCTCTTCTGTGCTGCTGCTTTGGAGTCGGTACAGATGGGGGAGGCACCCCCTCCTCTCTCACACGGGGCCTCACACATGATTCTGCTGGGGAGAAAAGGTTCTGCTGCTGCTGGCATCAGGGTTTGGGAAAGTTCTGGGAGATGGGTGCATTCACAAGTGATGGAGCACCGGTAGCCCTGGAGTTGGATGAGTGGATGGTTCTGTGTTGTCCCAGCCGGGGCCCCTGGTACACTGCTGTCTCCTGGCCTGTTTAGCTGCAGAACCAGTGGCTTGATAGAGACATCAGAAGCATGCTTATCAAATTTGCAGATGACGCAGTCATTAGGAAGAGCTGAAGTTCTGAGTGAGGGAATTGATCCCCCATTGCTCCTCTACAGCTGGAACACCCCACTGGAACCAGAAGAGGGGAGGCAATAGGCCAGAACGGGCAGGGCCTCCTGAGGTTCAGAAAGTCAGTTGCACGAGAACCAGTTGAGGAGACTTGGCTTAGCAGCAGTTTGTGTGAAATGACTGGGCCTGAGCTTGGTTTGTGGAATGCAGCCAGGTGTGCACAGCGGGGTACATCCCACTAGGCAGTGTCCAGGCCTGTTAGCTATGTTGAGAGGGTCACGTCCACTGCCACACACCACCTTGTAAAAGTTGCCCCACTCCAGCATTCATTTGAGCATGAAAAGTCGCTGACAGCAGCTGGATTCAGGTGTTCGAATGGTTAATATGTGGGAGGTTTAAATATAAGAGATCTAAATGGTGTTTCCAGGTGAGGGTGGGTCACTGAAAGCCCCAGAAAGCAAAATTCAATCAGGTGGATGGAAGTTAGGAGGTAAATTGGGGCTTACCATTTAAAAAGATGAGTAAAGAAAACTTCCCCCAAAATTCCATGGCCTTGAGGAAGTTCCCAGCTGCTGCCAATAGTCCAGCAGCCTTTGGATTCTTCAGGTGTTAAGAAACGTGTCATATTCCCTGTCCCCATCCTCCAAAGTTCAGATTCAGGAGACCCATGTTAGGGCCACAGACACCTTGCTAAGGGTGACTCCAGGTAGCTCCCGTGGGCAGGGAGGGTGCCTAGCAGTGGGCATTTGTCCCTGAGGTCTGCTCACCAGACCTGTAGCGATTGCCTTCTGCAGTCCTAGTGCTGGTGTCGGAGGGGGCTGGGATGACTGCAGAGTGACTGCGGTACACCCTCGCCATACGAGGCCCAGAGGCCCCATCCCAGCCTTGGCACGCATGAGCTGACTGCAGGTATTTCTCTTGCCATCCCTTTCCAGGGCCATCTGAAATTAGTAGTC